TGAAGAGAGCGTGAGGACGTCTCTGCGGGATTCCCGCCGCCACTTATGGGAATGTGATACGAGCTTTTCGTCGGATGCTCTCTTGCGTTTTCGCATTGTTACGCAACCGTCCTTCTCGCGTCCGCGTCACCCTCGTGCACCCCGACAAAGGGAATCAATGTCAATGCGCGCTGTCGTGCCGCAGTACACGTCCGAGGTGAAGGTGCGGGGAGCGAACGCCGAAATAATAATCGAGAGAGTGTAATAAGCGCGCAAACGCATTAACATAAACCTAATGAAACGTTATATTTGTCTAATGATTACGCGAGGTATTAAGAGTTTATTTTCTGAATCAATCAGTTTTTATTAAGAGAAAAATTGGATTTGGAATGCAAAATGGAGAATTGTAGCGGAGAGGTTATAATAGTGAAACTAGGCAGTAAAGAAGAGAAAAAGGAGGTAATAAAAAGGAAAAATAGGCTAAAAGGAGGACATATATTTATAGAAAATAATTTAACATGGGAGGAGAGGAAAATTCAAGAAAAGATTAATAAATGGGCAAAAAGGGAAGACATAAAGATAGGATTAGGTAAAGTGAGAGTTAAGGGCATTTGGAAATATTGGAATTAATCAATTTTTTTAAATTGCTGGTAACAAAATTTTTTACGTGACGTATCAAAATCATTTTTCAAATTTACTTTATCATTTTACGTATTTATTTTATTTGTGTGATTTCACTTAGGGTTTTTATCGCCAAATAAGTTGTAAGCGTACAATTTGCATAAAATTGCAATTGTTTTTGCGCGCAAGATCTATAAACTGTAATTTCGACTAGAATACGAGTTAACCGTAGTTCCTTCGATGAATTTCCTCGAGGACGGGAAAGCCGGAAGTCGTGCCGTAAGATTTATGCTCTTCCGAGAACGCGGCTCCGGCACTTATTCGATACTCACGCCCACGAGTGGCAGTAGATTACGCGGTGTTTTTGCATCGAAATGCGTCCTGTGTTCCATCGGGATTTATGAGTTATGCAAACAGCAAGGAAATCTCATCGAAGCTAAGGGCGCGGAATATGGCTCCGCCCTCTTCTAAGGCACTTCAACTGGTTTAACGCGGGTTCGTTTATTTATTTTTCAATTCTACTGCGATTTGACGTGATTCAATTTACGTGATGCAATTTGTGCTTTATCAAATCACGTAATATGCGTGGACTCGTCGATATCAATATCACTAACTTTACTATAATAATCATCAGTTTACTTCGCACGTCTAAACGATGTAGTTTTAGAAGAATATCAAGATCCCAATTGTCATGTCTTAATTAATTAATAAATAGTTAACGGTAAATAATGTTTTATTGTGCATAAATTTAATGCTCCTTTGTCCCTGGCAGTTGAGTGTTAGATGGAACGAAAGATCTCGAGAAGTCTTACATATTTTCATTCTTTAGATCTTACATCCTCCTACACATTAAGATTAGATATAGCCTAAAATCTTAAGATTTCTGGTAATCTATCTTATATAAGTATACTTCTAATTTTTTTTTATCTCTTAAAGTTAGTTTGATGTTTAACTTAGCTTGACGTATATCAATACTTTCAAAAAAATTGTCGTATATGTTAAACCTTTCAAAAAAACCTGTCATATATATTATCAAGAGATATATTAAAACCTTTCAAAATAAACTTGTATATATTAAAATTTTCAAAAAAAGCTATTATATATACTTTCTACAAAAAAATATATCAGGAAATGGCACCAAGTGGAACTAAAGAACTATGAAAAAAAGTTGT